AGGAATTACAACATCTGTGATGCAATCAAAAATACTGCTGAGTCTTGGGATGAAATGAAGCAGTCAGATATGAAAGGAGCGTGGAACAAAATTGTGCCCTCAATTTGTTCATGCTTCTCAGGAGTTTACAGCTCACTACACTGCAGAAGCCAGGCAAGCTGTGGTTGACATTGGTAATCAGCTGCAGTTAGATATCAGTGCAAAAGATGTCATACAGTTACTCGACTCCCCTGCTGAAGAACTGACCAATGAAGATCTTATGGACTTAAAGCAGCAGCTGATAGCATTTGAGGAAGAAGGCTGGGGCATACAAATCCAGAATTGGAAAAAGGTTTTGACAAAAGGCTTAGCTGAAGACTTTGTCTCATTGAAGCAGGGATGGCAAACTTAAAGGAGCAAGTTCCTAATATAGAGAGATTCACAAAGTTTAACAAACAATTACGTAGGGCTAGAACTGCTACAAGGCCATTTATGATGAGACACCCCCCCCCAAAGAAAAGCTGTGTCCAACTACCCTTGATGCCTACTTCAAGAAACTGACACCACTAGTTAACCTGCCCCTCCAGGAATAGATTCAGATTTTGACTTTCTAGCATCAGGCTCAACACCTTCAACAATAGCCATCTACTGTTAAGCTTTAATCATGATTTCTTTGTCTAAACTATTTTTAAAGGTGTTTCTTTTATTATTATTACGGTTGGTCACATAGTCAGCCAGAGTTTAGACTGGATTACACTATATTATTATTACAGTATTATTATATACTATATACCAGTGATGGCGAACCTTTTAGAGACCAAGTGCCCAAAAACTGCCCTGCCCCCCGCCTGCAGGGCCACCCACTGCCTCCAGGACCTGCCGATCGCCCAGACAGTCCAGCAGCGCTATGTGACCACGCCCTCCACCTGCAACCCGCAGCATCATCTGCATGTGATGGGGCTTGAGGGCGGAGTCTGTGCTGCTCCACACGGGCCACACCTGGGGGCGACTCTCCTCTGGGGGGCTGCTGGTGAGGAGAGGGCTGCGGAAGGAGGCGGGTCTGGGGCAACAGCGCATGTGCCCACAGAGAGGGCTCTGAGTGCTCCCTCTGGCACGCATGCCATAGGTTCGCCACCACTGCTATTTACTATATATACTATTATATAGTATAATAACTAGATTTACCCAACGCTAAGTTCATCATGGCTTTGGACAATTAGTGAACCTAGCAAAGCTGTCCAAAACCACTGTGGACATTGTAGCCTTCTTATAAAACCCAACGGTTCTGACTCAAAGACACAGAGGAAATCCTTTGAATCATAGGCAACTGACAAATCTAGGTCATTTGATACTATCTTTTCCCTATAATCTTCTTTCTCCTATGTACAAAACTTAAATACACTTCAAATCAGACACTTTCAAAAAGATAAGTTATTCTTGTAATATGAGATTCAATTTTTAAAACAGAAAGGCAAAATAATTTTCCAAAAGGAATATATCTATATCAATGCACTTGAACTTTAAAATGTAAATCTAAGCACTTAAGAGAGACAAACAGTAATAGTCAAAATGACAAATGTCACTTGCTCTCATCAGTTGAGAGCCAAAAGCTAAGCTACAAAAAAAAACTAAGCCCTGACTGTTTGATTTAATAAAGGAGCTTTAGTTCATGTGGGACCACTTCCAAAGTACCTCTTCCCAACACTGGGCCATTTCTTCTTCCAAGTTTCGTTGTTTGCTCTGGAAGCTGTTCTCTGCCATCTTTGTTTGCAACTGCTTTCCTTTACATTCTTCACACAGAAACATGACTATGCATGCACACAACACACGTGAAAGCAGCAGAAAGCAGCTTTCCAAAACAACTGTGATAAACTAGGGATAAATGTGGCTGCTTTAATGAGCCATACAGAGGTATTTTGTATATGATCTCTTTTAAAAGAGTTGTATAGTTCTTTTTTAAAAAGAAGTATATGATTCCAAGTACAAAGCCTCATAACTACTTGCAGCATCTCTATTTCCTGCCCTGGGATAACGTGCTTAATTTTGTGTTTATTTAGTTTGATACAATATCTATAGTGTTTGAATGCTCAAAATTAAATATATTTTGATAATATAACTGTTATGATCAAGCCATGTCATTAAGTTATGGTAATATCAGAATGAATGCTAATTTAAAGTATTCCCTTAGCTCTCTTCCTATACACTGCAGACATCCTGCACAATATTTGGAGAAGGGTGACTAAGGAGAATACACAAAGAGACACAACTGATGAGCTATACTTAGGATTATAAAATAAAAATATAAAATTTGTTGCAAGATTTTTATGAAACAGAAATCATGGCTCCTTACCTTTTGTAAATTCAGACATTCTCAGAGTAGAAACTATTATGTGGATATCTGTCCAAGATCAAAAATCATGGACGTCCAGAAAAGCAAGCAGAAAAATCAAAAAAAGATCCAAAAGAAAAGTTTATATTAATTTCCAAGCTTCTTATACAGATTTCCAAAGCCACTCATGCTTTTAGCAGTCAAGAGAAATACACTCTGACTTCATTAGAAGTACTGAGTCACCAATGTTCTGTCCTATACAGGTTGTTAACAGGATACATAATAGTGTATCAGCAGCAAAAGTCTCAATATTATGAAGGACGTGTTTAAAAAGAGGTGAAAGTCATTGCTTATTTGGCCAATATCTCCCTTAAAAATGCAAAGAAACCAGAGAATTAGATGAATTCTGCATTTCTATAGAATGCAAGGAAGACAAAAGAACAGTTGCAGATTCTCTCCTGTGAGGCATCACCTTATGACCTTGAGACTCAGCCATGGCAGGCCGAAACAAAGCAACTTTCTAGTCTTAACACTGAGTCGCCAAGTTAGAAACCTAGCATCCAGAAGCAGATTGGGTTTCTAACAGAAAACTGCATTATGTACATGGTCACAAACAGACTACATAACTAAACACGTAATTAGTCTATGCTGATTACACAATAGTAAATAGAGAGCACTGAAAAATGTTTCAAACAACCTTTTAGTACTACACAAAGACATAAACATATACAAAGATCCTGGGTGGTTTAATTTAACTTTTCATATGTGGCAGAAGAGATGGATCCTAGAATCAGACTCAAACAAGTCAAAGCATATGATCTCATGTCACCACACAACTCAGATACCACCGTTCCTCTGGCATCCTTTGTCTCTTCATGTCAAATGTGGAAAAGAAAATTTATTTCAGTAGGACCACAAAACTCTTCCAAACTCTTCCAACTAATGAGAGCTTAAACTAAAATGCAAACATCAACTCCATTATTTCTTTCAATGACCCAATATTAATTGTTTCTGCCCCGAAGATAGTGATTTTCCTCAAAAACAGCCGTTTTTCAAAATCTGTCACATTTAGTCAAGGATGTTGCTTCATGACCTTAAGAAACAAACACCCCCACTATTCTTGCTGCCAAACACCCCATATGGCTTCCTCATATTGCCAGTTTTATCTTACTATCACTAAATGCTTTGTTGTATAGCCATCCCTGATATAATTGTCTTAATCTTTCATGAATCCCACACATTTCCTTTTAGATGACCTGAATCTCCAACCCCCTAATCTTACAGGATAATAGCTCTATTATGAACAAGATCATTTCTCAAAGTTTATGGTGATTCTCAATCAACCAGGTCATGGTTTTCCCAAAAGGGAACTGGACCTTATAAGTTTCAAGAAAGTCCAGCTGCCTTTTGGAAAAAGCACCTTTGGGAAAATCATTTCTCCCCACTCTCACTTTATACAGCATGTATAATTTTACAGAGCATTTCTATTATACCCTCCCTTTTTACATCTGCCCCTGCTTATCTTGAAAAAGTGAAAGAAAGAAGCAGGTCCTAATATGCCAGGTCCCCACACAATTCTTCCATCTTCTTCTCAAGCCCTTTGGGCCTCAATTATCAGAAAGGAGACTAGAGGTAGTCCTCAATTTACAACAGTTCATTTAGTGACCATTCAAAGTTACAATGGCACTGAAAAAGTGATTTATGACCATTTTTCACACTTACAGCCATTGCAGCATCCCTATAGTCATGTGATCAAAATTCAGATGTTTGGCAACTGGCATGTATTTATGATGATTGCAGTGCCCCAGGGTCATGTGATCACGTTTTGCGATCCTCTTACAAGCAAAGTCAATGGGGAAGCCAGATTCACTTAACAACCGTATTACTAACACCTGCAGTGATTCACTTTACAACTGTGGCAAGAAGGTAAAATGGGGCAACACTTACTTAACAAGTGTTTCACTTAGCAACAGAAATGTTGGGCTCAATTGTGGACGTAAGTCGAGGACTATCTGCAAAAGGACTTTTTAAAAATGCAGTAGCCATCTTTCTCAACTTCTTTCTCTCTCCACAGCATGCGGTCCTCTGGTACACAGGGAGAGGCTGAAGAGGTCAGGGTTACCCCAGGAAAGAGAAAAAGAGCCAAGGCACTTGGCGATCCGATCGGATCCCATCCCATCCCATCCCATCCCATCTCTCTCTCTCTCTCTCTTTGAACAGAGGTAGGTATTTTATACCAGGCTCTCCCAACTAATCGGGAGGCTGCAGAATTCCCAGCAAGGCCTCACCAATTCACCTGGCTGGGCGGTGCGGAGGCGTTTGAAAAGAGCGAAGGGTGGCTTTTCTTGGGGACACCCTCTAGCGATGCCCCCAAAAGAGTGGGCGGTTAGCTTCTCTGAGGTGATCGGTCTTCGTGTCTTCCGCTTTCCCGGCTTTCCTCTTTTGAGTCAAAAGACACCGAGCAGGGAGGGCCTTCCTCCCACTCCTCGGGTGCTCCATGCCCCGAGAAAGGGAGTCTCTCCCCCCCCCGCCCCTTCGACGGAGACACTCTGTGGGGGGCTCCACATGAGACGGGGAAACCTTCGCTAACCACGTGACCCTACCCCCCCCCCGCGGTCGCCTGTCGCTTTCCCTCACGTGCCATCTCTCCCTCTCCCCCCCCCGCAGAGCTCGTTCGCCTTCAGGGCCTCACCCGATCTCGTCGGCGCCCCCGACGCTATTCATGGCGGCGACGGGGGCAGAATGGCCTGGGGGTAGGCCCGGCTAGCTGCCCCTCCGCTCTTCTTCCTTCTCCTCCTCCGGCGGCGCTGCGGTGAGAGGCGGTGGCGGGTCCTAACGCCGCTTTTCTCCCGTCCGCTTCTTCTCCTGGGGTTCACCGCCTGCCACAGGCGCCCTCGGAGCTCCAGGCGCCGCCGCCGCCGCCGTCCTCGCTGCCGCCTTCGGCTTTACCTCACACTAGAGGGGCCCGGCGACAGTCAGCCAGCTAGCCGCCGCCGTCGCGCGCCTGCGCAAGCGCACGCGCGCGCGCCGCCTTGCGTCCTCTTTCCCCCCTCCCCCCGCCCAATCTCCCTCCCAGTCTCTTGCCGCCACCAACCGCCGCTACAAGTAGAAGCCGGGTAATACGCCTGCGCAGTAGGGCCGCGAGACCCTTCCCCCCCCCTTTCCTTTCTCCCTCCCAGCAGCCGCTAAGAATATCATTGGCTGCTACGGGGTTTCCGGTAGTGCAAGCGCGCGGGAGGATAGGAGGAGGCGGGGAAGGAGGGAAGCAAACGCACAGATCGTCTGGAGGACTATATGCTTTGTTAGGAGCGGGTAGAGTGGTGCACGCGGTCTAACTTCCGTTTTAAAGAACAAGGAGCATGATGGGGAATGTAGTTACTGTACTTTTATTTCTGGTTTTATTTTTGTTCTTTAAGGAAGTGGACCGCTTGAGTGCGTTCATCTCCGGAAGTTTGTCTTGGGCCATTTGGGAAGCGTAGTCCGTTGAAGAAGGAAATTATGGTTTTGATTCCGCGTCTCTGTATTTGGTTTAAGACAGGGGTTCCCAAACGGAGGTGCGAGGCAATATTCCAGGGGGTGCGAAAATTTGGGTTTTCGAAATTATAGTGTATATGCTTAACTCATTGTCGTTACTTCGAACTTTTGTAAGGGGTGCGAGAATATATCACAAAGGTGTTGAAACTTGGCTCTTTTATGACTTGTGGACTTCCAGAACTCCTCATCCAGGCACGCTGGCTGAGGAATTCTGGGAGTTGAAGTCCACAAGTCATAAATGGGCCAAGTTTCAAGACCCCTGATATATCAGAAGCATTCTATGGGGTGCAGGGTATAGAAAAAGTTGGGAGTCACTGGTTTAAGAGGATGAAGGAGAAGGAGGAATGGAATGGAAGTGCCTGTACGTGGGTTGGAATCTGTACAACTGAGAAGAAATGATTTAACATAGACATAGAATATAGAATTCTTTATTGCTGGACTAGAAGACCTACAAGGTCCCTTCCAGCTCTATTCTGATAGATTGATTGATGGATGGATGGATTGACTGGCGAAGTGTGATTGAACACACAAATGTATTTATTAGAGAAAAAAGTAATATTGATCAATGAGTATGTTGTCCTAGCTGTGAAACCCGTCAACCTGAAAAAACATAATAGCAAAGTATTGTTTACATACAAAGTTACAGAAAGAACAACAAAATATTGTCATGCTAATAACACAGCAGCAGTTTTCAAGCTAACGTGCTAATTCTTTACAACAATCTTAACGGTGGCTTATGAATAGTGTTGATGGTGGGAATTGTACTTCCCACCTCAAGAGATTCATGTAGAACAGACATGTCAAACACAAAGCCCGGGAGCCAGATGCAGCCTGCAAAGTAGTTTCATGCGGCCTGCGAAGCCATCCTGGAAACAGTGAGGGAACGGCCCCCGCTGCCTTGGCCCTGGCCCAGGCCAGCCGGGAGCCAATGTAGAATTTTGTGGTGGCCATCTTGGCACTTGCCCTGGTGGACCATGCCTTGGCACTTGCCCTGGTCCCACCCCCTTCTGCCAGAGACCCTCAGATCTGTCCCATTCCTGCCAATGCCCCCACATGCACCCTTGACGCAAATGATGTAGAACTGACCACACCCACCCAGTAGACCACACCCACTCCATCCACACCCACCCAGTAGGCTGCACCCACTCTGGCCACACCCACCTGGCCCCCCAAGGGCAACCACAATGCTGATGCGGCCCTCAGTGAAATTGAGTTTGACACCCCTGATGTAGAATAATGAAATTAAATTCAGCTAACATTTTTTAGGTATGAGATGAGTGGCATTATACAGGTCCTCGGTGGAAGGCAGGCTGGTTGCAATTGTTTTTTCTGCCGTTCTAACTATCTGTTGAAATCTGTGTCTGTCTGGTGTGGTTGCAGTTCCAAATCAGATAGTTACAGAACTGTATCAGCAGCTCCTTGGGCAGTCTGAGCTTTCTGAGTTGGCGCAGGAAAAACCTTCTTTGTTGTGCTTTTTTGACGATGTTTTTGATGCTAGGTGTCCATTTTAAATCAGTCTTGACTCCTAAAGCACCTGGATGAATCCTTGCAGATTTCTTGGCAGGATTTTCAGAAATGGTTTTTCCTTGTCATCTTCTTTCAGGGGCAAAGAGAAAGGGACTGGCGCAAAGTCACCCAGCCAGCTTTCATGCCTAAGGCAGAGCAAGAAGTTTCCTGTTTCTAGTCTAGAGCCTTAACCACTACATTAAGTTGTCTTTATGGGTGTGTGTGTGTACGTGCCTTCAAGTCAGTCTTCACACATGGCAACTGCCTGCAATGTTCTTGCCAACGTTTTTTGGAAGTAGTTTGCCATTTCCTCCTTTTTCCCAGAGCTGAGCAAAAGGGACTGACCCCAAATGCCCCAGCTGGCTTCATGCTTAAGACAGAACTAGAATTCACGGTCTCCCAGTTTCTAACCTGGTGCCCTTAACAACATTACTTTAAGTAATTTAGGATGGTGAACATACATAATGCTCTTTCCTACAGGTAGTCCTTGAGCTATGGCCATAATCGAGCACAAAAATCTCTGTTGTAAAGCAAGACAGTTGCTAAGTGAGTCTTGCCCCATAGTATGACCTTTCCTGCCAGCGTCATTAAGTGAATCACTGCAGTTGTTAAGTTGGTAACATGGTTCTTAAGTGAATCTGGCTTCCCCGTTGACTTTGCTTGTCAGAAAGTCACAAAAACATGATCACCTGATCCCAGAAAACTGCAATAAGTCATAAATATACAATAAGTCGGTTGCCAAGTGTCTGAATTTTGATCACATGATCACATGGGGGATGCTGCAACGGTCGCAGGTATGAAAAACGGTCATCAATCACTTGTTTCACTGTCTTTGAATGGTCACTAAAGGAATGGTTGTAAGTTAAGGACTATCTACCCCTAGAACAAAAACTGAGGCTTTTTTTTTCTTAAAATCTGGACAACCATACAGAATAGAATTAGATTAGATTAGATTAGATTAGATTAGATTAGATTAGATTAGACTAGACTAGACTAGACTAGACTAGACTAGAATAGAATAGAATAGAATAGAATAGAATAGAATAGAATAGAGAATAACAAGAGTTGGAAAGGACCTTGGAAGTCATCTAATCCAACCCCCTGCTCAGGCAGGAAACCCTATACCATTTCAGACAAATGGCTGTCTAGTCTCTCCTTAAAAACTCCCAATGTTGGAGCATTCACCGCTTCTGGAGGCAGCTTGTTCCACTGATTAATTGTTCTCATTGTCAGGAAGTTTCTCCTTAGTTCTAGGTTGCTTCTCTCTTTGATTATTTTCCATCCATTGCTTCTTGTCCTGCCTTCAGGCGCTTTGGAGAATAGCTTGACTCCCTCTTCTTTGGGGCAGCCCCTGAGATATTGGAAGACTGCTATCCTGTCCCCCCTCGTCCTTCTCTTCATTAAACTAGACATACCCAATTCCAGCAGCCTTTCCTTATATGTTTTAGCCTCCAGTCCCCTAATCATCTTTGTTTCTCTTCTCTGTACTCTTTCTAGAGTCTCAACATCTTTTTTACATTATGGCGACCAAAACTGGATGCAGTATTCCAAGTGTGGCCTTCCCAAGGCGTTGTAGAGTGGTATTAACACTTCACGTGATCTTGCAGCCAATTTCATTTGTCTGAAGTGGTATAATAGGGTCTCCTGCTTGAACAGGGGGTTGGACTAGAAGACCTCCAAGGTCCCTTCCATCTCTTGTTATTCTGTTCTTCTGATTTATCCTGGCCAATAGCAATAGCCATTCAAGCCTGACGGTCTGCAATTGTTCCGTTTCTCCAGAAGATGTCCCCTTTCTCCTGCCCCACTTCCAAGTGGGAATTGCAAACTCCCCCCTTCCCCCCCTTAACTCCCCTTTGCTCTCTCAGCTCCCTCCTCCCCTGCTCCACCCCTTGAACTATTTCAAGCTAAACAGAAGCTCAGCAGCTCCTGTTCCAGGTTCCTGGAACTCCTGTCAGCCTCTTCTACCCTTCTCTCCGCTTCCAGCTCTAGCTTAGACCTTCCGGCATGGCTTGTCCCATCTTCCTGGAAGGGGAAAACTGTAAGCCTTCTTGGAAGGAAGCCGCTGCCGGCTACAATCCAGCAGACACTCACTTGGAAATCATGGGGAAGCCGGTAATGGAGCGCTGGGAATCCCCCTACATGCATGCTTTAGCCAGCGTGGCTGCTTCACAAGGTAAGCTCAACCCCGGAAGGTGTTCTGCAGCCTCCATACAGGTAGGCCTCGACTTACGACCAAAACGGAGAGCAAAATTTCCTTTGCTAAGCGAAACATTTGCAAAGGGAGTTTTGATCATTTTATGATCTTCCTTGCCGCTGTTGTTAGGTAGCCACAGAAGGAATTAGATATCAGAACCTTTGCATGGCTAATAAAATTCTAATATTGTAGTCAAAAATGTAACACGGAATTTTGAAAAGCGCGGTAACCTTTTTTCCACCATTGACAAAAATGTCCACTGTTGGGCCGAGGTCTATATATATCAACTAATCACTCAAGTGAGATGGCTGGTGTGAAAATCTGATAGATAAACAAATAAACTTTTGCTGAAAATGTCACAGGCAGCCAGCACTTCATTTTTTTTTACACACTCCACTTTGACACACATTGTCACCCTTGCTCAGTTTGTCTGTCTGTGTGTTTGCTGAAAGCAGATTTATTACAGATGGTCCTCAACTTAGGGCCACAATGGAGCCCAAAATTTCTGTGGCTAAGTGAAACATTTGTGGAGTGAGTTTTGCCCCATTTTACGACCTTTCGTGCCACGGTTATTAAGTGAATCACTGCAGTTGTTAAGTTGCCAACAGGGTTGTTAAAATGACCGGCTTTGCCGGTCAGGTCGCAAAACGCGATCACATGACCCTGGGGCCCTGCAACCGTCATAAATACGAGTCAATTGCCAAGCATCTGAATTTTGATCACATTGGCCATGGGGATGCTGCAGCAGTCATAAGTGTGAAAAACGGCCATAAGTCACATTTTTCCAGTGCCATTGTAACTTGTAATCACTAAATGAACTGTGGTAAGTTGAGGACTTATCTAGATCACCTCTGTTTTGTCTTAGCTCCTGACGCTTAATTTCCTGGACTTGCTACATCCTATTCCTTTTCTGCACTTTGCATAACATTCCTTAACCCGATAGGGAATAGGATGATTGGTAGGGACATAGATATATTCTTGGGGTCTTTTGCTCTTAGAATAGAAAAGAGCTAGAGGTCTTCTAGTCCAGCCCCCTGCTCAAGCAGGAGAACCTATACCAGGAGTAGGCAACCTTGGCTGTTTTATGACTGGTGGACTTCAACTCCCAGAATTCCTGAGCCAGCCATGCTGAGGGGACAGGGAGAGGTTTCCAAGCTGAGCCATGCTGGCTCAGGAATTCTGGGAGTTGAAGTCCACCAGTCATAAAAGAGCCAAGGTTGCCTACCCCTGACCTATACCATCTCAGACAAGTGACTGACTAGCCCAGGGATAGGCAACCTCTGCTCTTTTGTGACTCGTGGACTTCAACTCCCAGAATTCCTGAGCCAGCATGGCTCAGCTTGGAAACCTTTCCCTGTCCCCTCAGGAATTCTGGGAGTTGAAATCCACGAGTCATAAAAGAGCCAAGGTGGCCTACCTCTGGTCTAGCCTCTTCTTAAAAACACCCAGTGATGGAGCGCCCACGATTTCTGGGGGTAAACTGTTTCACTGGTTAATTGCCCTCACTGTCAGGAAGTTTCTCCTTAATTCCAGGTTGCTTCTCTCTTTGATCAGTTTCCAACCATTGCTTCTTGTCCTGCCCTCTGGTGCTTTGGAGAATAATTTGACCCCCTCTTCTTTGGGGCAGCCCCTCAGATACTAGAATACTGCTATCATGTCACCCCTATTTGGTCAAACATTCCCCTCCACCACCCCCATAAACAACCTCCACCCATGGATACTGACACCCATCAGAGTCAAGTTCCTGGCCTGAGCAGCGTTCAGTTGCCTGCACGGCAACCGAGATAAGAATAGCTTTGTGGTGAAAGGTCTCTCCGGAAAGGCTGGGGAGTGGGTGGGTGTTTCAGGGGTCTCGCCCTTTGCTGACAGCTGCAGGCTGAGGCTCAAGATAAGGGCTGCTGCCTTGCCGAGGCAAAGGTCTCTTCCAGCCTCTCAAGACACCATGGTGACCTGGGTTAAGCATGCACAGCAGCCTGAGAAGGGGGAGAAGAGGGAGTGAAGCTATTCTCCAAGGTGCCTGAAGGCAGGACAAGAAGCAACGGATGAAAACTAATCAAGGAGAGAAGCAACCTAGAACTAAGGAGAAATTTCCTGACAGTGAGAACAATTAATCAGTGGAACAACCTGCCTCCAGAAGTTGTGGGTGCTCCAACACTGGAAGTTTTTAAGAAGAGATTGGACAACCATTTGTCTGAAATGGTGTAGGCTTTTCTGCCTAAACGGGGTTGGACTAGATGACCTCCAAGGTCCCTTCTATCATCATCATCATCATCATCATTATTATTATTATTATTATTATTATTATTATTATTGAGACAGTTTCACAGGAATTCCAGAAAATTCTCTCTGTCTCTGTCTCTCTCTCTCTCTCTCTCTCTGTGTGTGTGTGTGTGTGTGTGTAGTACAGGTAGTCCTCAAATTACAGCAGCTCATTTAGGGACCGTTCAAAGTTATATCACTGGAAAAAGTGACTTACGACCAGTTTTCACACGGGGCAGGGGGTGGGGCCAGTTTTTGGGCACTCGGTCTCTAAAAGGTTCACCATCACTGCCCTATACCATTTCAGACAAATGGCTGTCCAGTCTCTTCTTAAAAACTTCCAGTGTTGGAGCATTCACCGCTTCTGGAGGCAGGTTGTTCCACTGGTTAATTGTTCTAACTGTCAGGAAGTTTCTCCTTAGTTCTTGGTTGCTTCTCTCCTTGATTGGTTTCCATCCGTTGCTTCTTGTCCTGCCTTCAGGTGCTTTGGAGGCATGGCCACCGGTTCATATTTATGACGGTTACAGTGTCCCAGGGTCATGTGAGACAACAGCACAACACCCAAGCTCTGCTGTGATGTTCCCAATGCTTTTCTTACCAGAATTTCATGTTGTTTATCTGTGCAGTAACAAAGACCAACAAGCATTTGATTCTCATCCCGAACATCATCCTTGGAGGCCAGATTTTTAGCAATACAGACTTACAACTTTTCATTTAATGACGGTTCGAAGTCACAACAGCACTGAAAAAAGGGACTGATGACCACTTTTCACACAACCCTCGCAGCATCCTCAGGGTCACGTGATCAAAATTCAGATGCTTGGCAACTGACTCATATTTATGACGGTTGCCGGGTCCCGGGGTGGGGGGGGTCATGCGATCCCCTTTTGTGGCCTTCTGGTGAGCCAAGTCAGTGGGGAAGTCAGATTCACTTAACAAATATGGTATAAGCGGCTGCAGTGATTCACATAACAACTGTGGCAAGAAAGGTCATAAAATGTGGCGAAACCCACTTAACAACTTTCTTGCTTAGCAACAGAAATGTTGGGCTCAGTTGTGGTCATAAGTCGAGGACCACCCGTACTGGGTGTCAGGCTCAACTCCTGGTGACTTGGTGGATACATCTGTGTAGTTCTCTTGGTGCAAAAGTGGTTTGCACATCCAGCCACTTACTGGATGGACTTCCCACTCCGTGTGCAAGCCATGTTTAGCCCTGTTTTTGTTTTTAAATAACCCAGCATGGCTAGCGAGGTGCTGCTAACTAAGCTTTGTAAAGTCTCCCCCAAGCTGAACTAAAAGTCAGATAAGTCACTTCATGGTCCTGTTCATGTCCACCTATGTCAGGGGTGGGGAACGATAGCCCTTTTATGACTTGAGGATTTCAACTCCCAGAATTCCTGAGCCAGCCATGGCTGGCTCAGGAATTCTGGGAGTTGAAGTTGACAAGTCATATAAGGACCATAGTTCCCCACCTCTGACCTAGGTGTTCTGGGCAAAACAAGCCAATCATTTGTCTCTTTCTGCCAAACTAGGCTTCAGTTCTCTGGTTCCTCTTCAAGAATTAACCTGATCTGACTTTTCTTAAGTTTTTGGTTTTTTTAGGATAGGAAACAGATTCCTCAAGAAAGATAAAAATTCTGCTTTATGAACAGGGGCTCTAGTAATCAAATTCTGAAATTGACTGAATTTTCTTGTTTTCTTCCTTTTATTCCAAAGAGAGTCAAGGCGGGACCATCTTGAGTTTCTTTCTAACCTTTTCTTGAGAGAAATCACGTTTTTGTAATTTTCTGGGACATGGTTTCTCCAAGATCATCTCTGTGGCTTGGCTAACCAGACCTAAGCTGCTCGGGGCCTCTTTAGATAGCGAGATGGGCAGCATATAAATTCAATCAGTCATTCAACCAACCAATCAATCAATCAATCAATCAATCATATCTTCCTTTTAGGAGGCCGGGTGCTGGAGGTCGGCTTTGGCCTGGCCATTGCTGCCAGCAAAATTGAAGAGTTTGACATCAAGGAGCACTGGATCATCGAATGCAACGAAGGAGTCTTCCAGAGGCTGCAGGAGTGGGCGAAAACACAGCCTCACAAGGTTGGGGCAAAGGGGCCTGGCGAGAGAGAGGGCACGAATGCCCAGCAGGAAAGGAAGCACAGCCCACCTGCTATGACGTCATCATGCAAATCATGTAGATGACATCATGCAGGTCATTTTCGGGGTTCTATCCGAATGCATGATGGGAAAGGGGAGCAGTGAATGGGGAAGGGAAGTGATGTAACCAAGTCCATAAGATGGTCCTAAACTGGGCAGTGTGAACCCAGACGGAGGGGATAAGGGTACGTGAGAAAGTCCTTGGGAGACAGGAGGGAGAGCAGCAGACTGGACAATGGTGTATAGCAGGTCTCCCTGGCCCACAGAATGAGGGAGGGCATGGGAAGCATTTTAGAAGGGATTCTCCTTAGTTTTCCAGAGAGTAAAAGAAAAGGAGGGGAGAGCCAGTTTGGTGTACTTAAAGTGTCAGCCTAGAAACCAGGAGGCGGTGAGTTCTAGTCCTGCCTTAGGCATGAAAGACAGCTGGATAACTTTGGGCCAATCAGCAGGAGAGTGTGAATTCTAATCCCGCCTTAGGCATGAAAGGCAGCTGGATAACTTTGGGCCAATCAGCAGGAGAGTGTGAATTCTAATCCCGCCTTAGGCATGAAAGGCAGCTGGATAACTTTGGACCAATCAGCAGTAGACTGTAAGTTCTAGTCCCGCCTTAGGCATGAAAAACAGTTGGGTGACTTTGGGTCAATCTTTCTCTCTTTCTCTCAGCTCAACCCACCTCACAGGGTTGTTGTTGTGAGGAAATTGGAGGAGGAAGGAATACCAGGTATGCTGTTCGCTGCCTCGAGTTGCTTAGAAAGTAATAGACAGGATAAAAACCTAATGAATAAAAATACTTTCAGTCTTGCCAAATTCTTTTAATGCAACCTTAAAATAAATAAAAAGTTAGAACTCCTGGTGGCGTTTCTTGTCTGGACTACCTCACAGGTCTAACAGTGGGCAACTTCGAGCCCTGCTCCAAAATAGGGAAAATATGAGGGGAATCTCCTCCCAACTTTTAAACAGATTTCTACTCTCTTTGGAAGGAGTTGTGCTTCTGCCAGGGAGGACCCGGGTCTGAGTCTGGATAGTTGAGGGCCATGATCTAAGAAGGCTATATTTTCTGTTTTCTTTTTTTTTTCCCAAACATTTTTTTTCTTTTTACAAAGACACTGTTGCCTTTACAATATGAGCATGTTTTTCCGGCATCACGGCTTACCTCTTCATTGATTGCACTCCGTCTCCTCCTTGATTCCCCCTCCCTCCCCAGGTTGTCCCATTGAAAGGATTGTGGGAAGACGTCGCACCAACCTTGCCGGATGAACATTTTAACGGTAAGCAACAGGGTTGTCTCCATTTCTCTGGGGTGATTGTGTCCCAACTTTAGCCATTTTACGACCTGTGGACTTCAACTCCCAGGATCCCTGGGGTTACAGAAGGGGTGGGCAAACATGGCAATTTTACGACCTGTGGACTTCAACTCCCAGAATTCCTGAGCCAGCCATGCTCAGGAATTCTGGGAGTTGAAATCCACAGGTTGTAAAGTTGCCATAGTCACGCACGCCTAGATTACAAGTGCTTTTGAGCTCTTGATATAGCAGATAAAGAATAGAATAGAATAGAATAGAATAGAATAGAATAGAATAGAATAGAATAGAATAGAATAGAATAGAATAGAATAGAATAGAAGAATGGAATGGAGTAGAGCAGAATAAGGAATATAACAGAACAGAACAGAACAACAGAATTAGAAGAATGGAATGGAATGGAGTAGAGTAGAGTAGAATAAGGAATAGAATAGAATAGAATAGAACAGAATAAGGAACAGAATATAATAGAATATAGAATATAGAATATAGAATATAGAATATAGAATAGAATAGAATAGAATAGTATTAGAAGAATGGAATGGAGTAGAATAAGGAATATAATAGAACAGCACAGAACAACAGAATTAGAAGAATGGAATGGAATGGAATGGAGTAGAGTAGAATAAGGAATAGATTAGAATATAATAGAACAGAACAGAACAACAGAATTAGAAGAATGGAATGGAATGGAGCAGAGTAGAATAAGGAATAGAATAGAATAGAATAGAATAGAATAGAATAGAATAGAATAGAATAGAATAGAATAGAATAGAATAGAACAGAATAAGGAACAGAACAGAATATAATAGAATATAGAATATAGGAATAGAATAGAATAGAATAGAATAGAATAGAATAGAATAGAATAGAATAGAATAGAATAGAATAGAATAGAATTAGAAGAATGGAATGGAATAGAGCGGAGTAGAATAAGGAATAGAATAGAACAGAACAGAACAACAGAATTAGAAGAATGGAATGGAATGGAGTAGAGTAGAATAAGGAATAGAATAGAATAGAATAGAATAGAATAGAATAGAATAGAATAGAATAAGGAACAGAACAGAATATAATAGAATATAGAATATAGGAATAGAATATAATAGAATAGAAAAGAATAGAATAGAATAGAATAGAATAGAGAGGAACAGAACAGAATAGAATAGAATAGAATAGAATAGAATAGAATAGAATAGAATAGAATAGAATAGAATAGAATAGAATAGAATAGAATTAGAAGAATGGAGTAGAGTAGAATAAGGAATAGATTAGAATATATTATATAGAACAGAACAGAACAACAGATTAGAAGAATGGAATGGAGTAGAGTAGAATAAGGAATAGACTAGAACAGAACAGAACAATAGAATTAGAAGAATGGAATGGAATGGAGTAGAGTAGAGTAGAATAAGGAATAGAATAGAGTAGAATAGAATAGAATAGAATAGAATAGAATAGAATAGAATAGAATAGAATAGAATAGAACAGAACAAAATAAGGAACAGAACAGAACAAAATAAGGAACAGAACAGAATATAATAGAATATAGAATAGAATAGAATAGAATAGAATAGAATAGAATAGAATAGAATAGAATAGCATAACAGAGTTGGAAGGGACCTTGTAGGTCATCTAGTCCAACCCCCTGCCCAAGCAGGAGTCCCTACACCATTTCTGACAGATGGCAGTCCAGTCTCTTGAAAGCCTCCAGTGATGAAGCACCAACAACATCTAAGGCAGTCTGTGACAGCACATTGACTGGACTGACGGCAAGGAAGAGTCCTCCCATGTTCCTGATGGTTGGCCACTGTGGCTGGGGCTCATGGGTGGGAGGAAAATCTCCAGAAGTTCATTTAAGGAGCATCCCATTCCCAGACAGTGAAAAATGACCATTATACCACAACGCATTTCTTTCTTGAGAGCCAAAGATCTGTTTCTCACATGCAGGAATTCTCTACGATACGTACCCCTTGTCAGAAGATACCTGGCACACCCATCAGTTTGACTTCATCAAGGTGATATTTGGCACCCCTGACGGTTTACCCCTGTTCATCTGACTGAGAACTCTGGGGATTGTCGTCGCAACATGCCTGGGGCGATGTCTGACTGGGGAAAGCTACTTTAAGGGTTGAAAGCTCCATTAAAGGTAGAAAAAAAAGCAATTTAGCAAGTTGGGCCAGCTAGAGTGGACACGCTCTGGATCCCATCTATTAAGCAGTGTCATTTTCCAGGATACCTGGGGTTACCTAGCTTGGTAATGAAACATTTGCAAGAAAACCACTAAGCTTAGCGAGCACCAAAGACCCAAAGGCGAGCTCACCTTGATCCAGTTTTTATCTGTTTTTTTAGCTCGGGAGGTTTCCCCCACTCCTAGATAAGGAAATAGCAACAGGGCTGTTTCAGGTTTATGATAGTGGTTGTGTACTAAGGAGCAAATGGTCAAACCTGTTTGCCTCTCCTAAATAGAAGACGTGGCCTGTCCTTTGTCTAAAGCAGTGTTTCTCAACCTTGACAATTTTAAGGCATGTGGATTTCAACTCCCAGAATTCAAGCAGTTTGTTTTAGTTTGGCAAGATTTCTGTGCGTAGATAGGAACCATAAAGGGAGTTGCTAAAAAGAATCTCAACATGTCTTTCTTGGTTTGGGGAGCTGCCTGACCCTTGGAAAGTGGGGTTCTGCTCCCAAAGCAGATTGGCCTTTCAATCATATTCTCAGGATTGCCATTTGACTTTGCTGACCCCATCTTTTTTTTACCCAAAGGTCAAAAAAGTCAAGAGGGCAACTACAATCATGTCATCATGACACAGGTAAAAAAAAAGATAAGGCACCAATGGCATAGCCGCTGTTGCCATTGTGACTTTTTGGATCACACCTTTTTTTCTAGCCAAGCGTTCAAAGGCATCAAAAAAGTCAAAATGGTGCCCAAACTCTGCAATTACAATGTACATTAAAAAGTAGTGTTGGTCACACGTTTGTGATTGCCATCTTGACTTTTCTCAGTGCAGACAAAAAAGAACAGCTTTTATCCAACAGTTGCGGCCTCCATCCTGGCTTCTCCCATGCAGGCACCCCTGGTCACATCTGGAGATACAGAACAGTTTGAAGGAGAAGTTGGCATATGGGTGCCCCCAGAGGGCAAAATACAGAAACCAGAGATATGTAGGGAGGTGTGAACTTCAGTCAATGGCAAACTGACTGCCCTGAATGAGGCTGAAAAAAATTACATCATGGCAAGCAGGAGAGAATCAGCTGGGTCTCCTATGAAGCTGATGGACTACAGTGCCCATGATGCTTTCCCTTTGGCCAAGCTAACTGGGATCTATGGGAGGGCAGAGTGCCAAGCATCATGCCTCTGGATCAGTTGATCATACCCAGCCTTCCTCAATCTTTTGGAAGACCAGTGGGAGAACCCTTGAAATAATTTACAAATTTTAGGAAACCCTCAAATAAAAACCAGCAATGTGCTGCAGCTGCCAAGAAAGCCAACACAGTGCTGGGCTGCAGAATTCAAACTGCTTGAATTCCATTGACTCTTATCTAGTTCCAGTTTATGCTGGGGAACCGTTAGGGAGGCGGCATCTTCACCCTCTTTCTCCCACATAAACTATCTGAACTGTCTCTCGCTCCTCCGGAATGCAGTCCCTCCCTCTGGGAATCCAGATTACATTCCACCACACCAAGCAGCAGATTCTGGGGCATTCCCTACCTATAGGAGAAGGACAGGCAGAGCCTGGGGGGTGGAATCAAGAGGGGAATCAGCCTGGAGTCATTACATTCTCACAAATAGTCTAAGTCCAACCCCTCTTGAATTCCGTTGACTCTTATCTAGCGCCCATTTAGTGCTGGCCGTTAGTTGACCAGATTCTTGCGTACAGGCATGAACAATAAATCTACTTAACTGGAGTTTAATGTGTGGTCCTTATTCTTCACGCCTAACATTGCCCCCCCCCCCAAAATGCCACTCCTCCTTTTCTCCCTGTAGGCTCACGCCCATCGCCTCCTGAAGCCAGGCGGGGTCTTCACCTACTGCAACTTGACTTCCTGGGGGGACCTGTTGAAGAGCAAGTATTCGGACATTGAAAGGATGTTTCAGGTGAGAGCAGGGAAAGGCTGCGGTGCAGGAGACTTCACTGAATGGAGAATCTATCCCTAGTCCAGCACCTTCACCACCACAATGCACAATTACCCTGTGTTGCCATGTGGCTTGCAAGAAAACCTGCCGAATGTATGGTGGCTTGCTTGAAGGAGAAATGAGACACTCTGTCCACTTCTGGGGCCCTCTCCCTTCTCTTTTGGACTGCACTTATGAGAATGCCACTGGCTTGAGAAAAAGTAGACTCTCCTTGCCTTCACAGGTCCTGCAGACCCAGCCAGTTATGGTTTATTTAAACTGTGACTTAGCGTGTTGCATGAACACAGGGTAAATCTCCCTTTGGTATTTTTCCTTAGGAAACACAAATTACCCACTTGGTCGAGGCTGGCTTTGAGCCGAAGAACATCCACACTACCGTTATGGACCTGATTCCTCCAGCTGATTGTAGATACTACGCCTTCCCTAAGATGATCGTGCCTGGCATCCTCAAATAGATCTCCCAGGGAGGAAGATCTCTCAGGATCAAACAAGGGATCGGTGTGTTGGCAAGAGACACCACCAGTCACATGAAATGTTGTTCTCTCGTGGCAGACGGGGGAGGTGAAAACTAACGTGTGAAAGAACCACTTTAGATAGAGTTTTCCCTTGCTAAGAATTTATTTTAACCAGCATTTTCAAAACTTTGTGTCAGAGCATGCAGTCTTATTGCACTGAGGTAACCCAGGAGTAAATACAGTAAACAGTGGTTTGTAATTAAATGGTGGTTTATATTACAGTATATCTACAAATAGATGTATCTACAAATATACACTGGAAATAAAATACATACACTTGGTGAAACAGCAAATTCCAATACACAGCAATTACAGCAATCAAACTGACGAGAAAGACTCCAGGAAAAAACCTTCCCTTTTATACTCAGACTCTTAAAGGGATATACACATCTGCTAAGTCATTCCTATTATTGCATCATCCACATTACATTACACCAGCTGGTTAGCCTTTAAATTATTACTGTGACACTTTGTGTCTTTCTCTCTTGGCCCTGTCCCTCCAAATAGATCTGCAATCAACATCTGAACATCTGAGCTTTCATACGTGCCTCATCTAGAGATGAGATGGGGTGAGCCTAACATCTGTACGTGTATCATAGAATCAAACTTTTCCTTAAAAACCAGAAAGATTTTAGTCCTTGTGATTCTGAATATAATGGAAACTGGCTGGTAATGAGACAAACCATGTGGATAATAGGCAATCCTTGATTTGCAGGATCCAATCTGGGTCAGTCAGTGGGACCCAACATTTTATCTTCCAAGCATGCGGACTCGTACTGGAGTCTATCTTCAGGGAACTTCTCTCTAGCAGAGAGTGTGTGAATAGAATAGAAATAGAATAGAATAGAATAGAATAGAATAGGAATTAGAAGAATGGAATGGAGTAGAGTAGAATAAGGGATAGAATAGAATAGAATAGAATAGAATAGAATAGAATAGAATAGAATAGAATAGAATAGACCTTGGAAGTCTTCTAGTAGTCCAACCCCTGCTCAGGCAGGAAACCCTATACCATTTCAGACAAATGGTTGTTTAATCTCTTCTTAAAAACTTTGACTGTTGGAGCATTTACAACTTCTGGAGACAAGTTGTTCTACTGATTAATTTGTTCTCACTGTCAGGAAATTTCTCCTTAGTTCCAGGTTGCTTCTCTCCTTGATTAATTTCCATCTGTTGCTTCTTGTCCTGCCTTCAGGCGCTTTGGAGAATAGCTTGACTCCCTCTTCTTTGGGGAAACTCCTGAGATATTGGAAGACTGCTATCATGTCCCCCCTCGTCCTTCTCTTCATTAAACTAGACTTTTCATTAAACTAGACTTCATTACACTAGACTTCATTAGAGTAGACTTTGGGCTATTCTGTGTGTGGTATTTATATGGTGCCTCTTGGATGTGGCTTTTTAGATGTTGATTGGGGTGTTGATGTTTAACAGCACACACTCTGCTAGAGAGACGTTCCCACAGGATGGGCTCCAGCACTAGTCCAAAAGCTTGGAAGACGAAACCTCTGGTCTTGATGACCGACCCAGATTGGATCCTGAAACATTATCCCGGGAAAGGTCTATTCGCCAGTCCTTGATTTATGACCCTAATGGAGCCCTCCATATCATTTGGGAAAAAGCAGGTGCTGTCTTTAATTGTGAGTTCTCAGAAAAAGAAATCACATTAAAGGTAGTCCTTGGCTTACAACGGTAATAATGAAGCTTGCCCATTGTGCTTGTACGTCACGACGGTCGCAAAGTGGGTTCAGCCATGCAGCTTTTATGATCTTTATTTTTTGCAGCAGTCCGTTGCTTGCTGTGGGGCGCTTTTGTCGAAAAAGGGAAGCAAAACGGCAGCAAATGGCCATAAAATGTGTCTACTAGCTGAGTGGCCGAAAGGAAGTCACGTGACCGTGGGATGGGAGAACCCTTGGAACCAGATTGTACCTGTCTTTGGGGGAGGCTCATTGTAACTTTGAATGGTTGCTGAGCGACCAGTCGTTAAGTCGAGGAGCACCTGTGCAATAACACAAAACTTGGCTTCTTGCTTTGAATTACTATTATAGAGAAAAGTAGCTGAACCAGGCTGATCTTTTCAACAAAGGCTAGGCTTTCTTAAGTTTGTAAAAGGGAGACCATTAGGAAATCCCAGAAGGTAGAGTAGACCGGGAAGTAAATAAAAATCCATCTCCGAAGAAGGCAATAGGTAACCCCTGCTGCTGTATGTTGTTAACTAAAATGTAGTCGAGTATGTCTGTGTGTCCCCAGGACTCAACCTTGACTTGAGGAAGACTGTCTTACATGTGAACCCAGCCTGGTGGGTTAGTAATCATTTCATTAATTAATTAATTAATTAATTCACCAGCCAGACAGTCAGTCAGTCAGTCCGTCCATCATTTCTATTCCACCTTTATTATTATTACAAATAACTCCAGGCAGCGAATATATCAAATTTATCTGCTTCTCCTAGTTCCTTAACAACAACCCTGTGAGGTGGGTTGGGCTGAGAGAGTGACTGGTCCAAAGTTTCTCAGGTGGCTTTCATGGCTAAGGCAGGACTAGAACTCAAGATCTCTTGGTGATTGGCCCAAAGTCACCCAACTGGCTTTCATGGCTACCGCCCCTGGCTTTCTAGCCTGGTGCCTTAACCACTACCAAACTGGCTTTTTAATCATGTTTTATTCTTTTGGATTATATCTACTGCAAGCTAGTCCCTTGTTAAATTGCTCCAAAAAAATCATGATTTGGCATGACAAATGAACTAGTCCAGGGGTAGGCAACCTTGGCTCTTTTATGACTGGTGGACTTCAACTCCCAGAATTCCTGAGCCAGCCATGCTGAGGGGAAAGGGAGAGGTTTCCAAACTGAGCCATGCTGGCTCAGGAATTCTGGGAGTTGAAGTCCAAGAGTCATAAAAGAGCCAAGATTGCCTACCCCTGAACTGGTCAAATTAAGATTCAGTTGGCATTTAGCTTTCCAACTGTCTTAGGTTTAGCACTTGGGGGAAAAAAAACAACCTCCTAACAACTGAGCCCAGAAAGTCACAAGTGCTACTTGTGCATCATCGGTTCTGGACTTCCTGCTCTCCTGTTTTTCCCCCTCCTCTTCTGTTTTTTAAAGCGTATCCTTCTCTTCCTCCTCCTCCTTCCCACCCACTTCCACATTGTACTCAATTTTTCCCAAGAAAAAAAATGGAAACGGGAGACCACTCAAAGCACCAAACCCATTTCTCCAGATATAATAATTATAAGTTTATTGACAAGGTTTATACATAGTAGTTTTCAATGTGTGCGCTACAGCTACAGTTAGGGCAGCCATTTTTATTCTGGCAGCTTGCAAAGAAGCCCATCACTTCCTATACCAGATCTGGAGAGCTTTGGCTCGTTTAATCTTCCTCTGGAGCTGCAGGATCCCGTACAGGAGGGCCTCAGCAGTAGGAGGGCAGCCTGGAAGAGGCAAAACTTTTAGAGCAGTGATGGCGAACCTTTTAGAGACCGAGTACCCAAACTGCAACCCAAAACCCACTTATGTATCGCCGGGTGCCGGGTGGGTGTGGCTCACTCGGCGGGCGCAGCTACAGTGGGTGTGGCAGACTGAGTGGGCGTGGCCACTGGATGGGTGCAGCTGCAGTAGTCATGGCAGACTGGGTGGGCATGGCCGGGGTGGGCGTGGCCACCTCGATGTTGGCCACGCTTATGGGGAGGGACACCTGTGGGAGCCGGTCAGGGTTGGGGGAGATCCAGGGAGTCTCTGGCGGGTGGGATGGTGGGCTTCCCAATGGCGGCTCCAGGCTGGCTGGCCTTAGGCCAGTGATGGCAAACTTTTAGAAACCACATGTGCTGAGGTGATGACACGTGCCCACAGAGAGGGCTCCATGTGCCACCTCTGGTACGCGTGCCATAAGTTCACCACCATTGCTTTAGAGCAGTGGTTCTCAGCCTGTGGGTCGGGACCCCATTTGGGGTCGAACGACCATTTCACAGGGGTCGCCAAACAAGGCTGTCCGCCATTTTTCCCCCTTTTCTTTGGCCACACCCCTGGCACCCGGTGATGTATAAGTGGTTCGGGGTCACCACAACATGGGGAACTGTATTATGGGGTCGCGGCATTAGAAAGGTTGAGAACCACTGCTTTAGAGGATCTCTTGGGCTCAATTGTGGCTGCAAGTTGAGGGCTGCCGTATTATTGCTTCCATCATGCTTTCTGGAATGCCTTGCCAAGTAGTGAAGTGAGGTCTGGATTCAGTGGTAGAATTCTACCAGTTCCGCAGAAGCGGTAACTAAATTTTTCTGAGTTCGGAGAACTGGCTGAATGCACACTTTCCAAAAGTCTGTTCTTGGCCTCAGAGGCTGGGAGGCCACCCAGGCCTAGAATCGCCCACCGGAAGTACATGGATGCCACTTCTGGAAGTCCGTTCTTGGCCTTGGAGGCTGGGAGGCCGCCGTCCAGGCCTAGAACAGCCCGCCGGAAGTGCATGGATGCCACTTCCGGAAGTCCGTTCTAGGCCTTGGAGGCCCAGGTCTGCATCCAATAAGAGAACTGGTTGTTCAGGTATTTGAATCTCACCACTGTCTGGATTGTAAGTGTTTTATCTGGACACACAAATGACTTTCCCTTCTGGGGATTCAGTTTGGGGAAGACAAGCTAGGAAAAGAGCTCTTGATGCCTTTCCTTTACCTGGCACATAGATGTCCACGGGCACGATCCGGTCACAGCCCCGCACCACGGAATACGAATAATGATAGTAACCTCCACCATTGGCACAGCTGAAGAAAACAAGAGGAACAGTGTTGGGATCATTAGAAAAGCAACCCTTTGCAATAGCGGAGGCCTGTTTCCTTCTGGACGACAGACCACGATAAGATAAGGGTGGAGGCTCGTTTTCCGAGCATGTGGGTTGGTGTCCGAATGTTTTGTGACCAGGGTAGGTAACATCTTCAGCCGCATTTAGCGGATGTTTGTGTCAGTGCTCTTCTGACCCATCTCAAGACCCTCACTTGACACACCTACACCGGACGTCCTTATAAACAGAAGAACATCGGAAGCCCTTCTAAACAGAAGAACAGTGACATTGATGCCCCCTAAACTCCGCTGAAGATGTTACCTAGCCTGCTAATGAAATGTTCAGAAATTGACCCACAAGTTCGGAGAATGAACCTTCACCCTCATCCTACACCTGAGCTACAGATATTCACCACTATTGCAAAGGGTGAGGTTTGCAAGATGACCCATGCTGGCTC